CCAGCTAGTCATCAATGTGCTGGATGTAAATGACAACCCTCCTGTATTTAATCAATCCATTTACAGGATAAAGTTGCCAGAAAATACAGCTAGTGGGACATTAGTTATTGATCTGAATGCTACAGACTTAGACGAAGGGATTAATGGAGAAATTTCTTATTTTTTTAGCAATAGGCTAGCTCTATATGTCAGAAAGATATTTAGTATAAATTCCAATACTGGGGAAATCAGTGTGATTGGAAATTTGGATTATGAAGATATTAATTTCTATGAACTTCAAATTGTGGCAGAAGATAAGGGTACTTTATCTGGACATTGTAAAGTTCTCATTGAAGTGTTGGATATGAATGACAATATTCCAGAAGTGTCTGTGAATTCTCTCTCTGTGCCATTGCCAGAAGACTCCACACCAGGGACTGTAGTGGCTATCATCAGTAATTGTGGCAGAAGATAAGGGTACTTTATCTGGACATTGTAAAGTTCTCATTGAAGTGTTGGATATGAATGACAATATTCCAGAAGTGTCTGTGAATTCTCTCTCTGTGCCATTGCCAGAAGACTCCACACCAGGGACTGTAGTGGCTATCATCAGTGCTTCAGACAAGGATTCTGGCACCAATGGACAAGTAAGTTCTTTCCTAAGGCCTATTGGGCTACCCTTCAAATTGGAGTCCACATTCAAAAACTACTACTCCCTGATTGTTGGTGCACCTCTAGATCGGGAGCAGGTGGCTGAATACAGGATAGTAGTAACAGTACAAGATCAAGGCATTCCACCACTTTCTTCTAGCATCAGCCTCTTACTGCCTATCAGTGACATAAATGATAATGCTCCAGCATTCACACAGCCCTCCTACACAGTCTTTGTGAAGGAGAACAATCCCCCTGGTGCTCACATCTTCACAATATCCGCCTCAGATCCAGACGTAGCTGAGAATGCCATGATCACCTACTGGATAGATGAAAAGCTCTGGCGATTGTCAAGCTATATCTCTGTACATTCAGAGAGTGGGAAGCTCTATGCTTTGCAACCTTTGGACTATGAGGAGTTGAAATTGCTGGAGTTCCAGGTGAGAGCCAAGGATGCTGGATTACCCTCCTTATGTGGGAATGCAACAGTTCAAGTCTTTGTGATGGATGAGAATGACAATGCACCTGCTGTGTCAAGATCTGCTGAAGAGAACCCCATTCTTCTGCTGGTTCCTATGATGCCTGGCCATATTGTAGGCAAAATCCATGCCTTGGATGCGGATTCTGGATACAATGCATGGCTAAGATATGAACTGATTGAAGAAAGCAGTGGTCCATGGGCCGTGGGTCAGTACAGTGGTGAGGTGAGTACCAAATATTCTCTGGATGAGACAGAAGGAAGCAAAATCCAGAGTGTGCTGGTTCTTGTAAAGGATCATGGGAAGCCTCCACTCTCAGCCACAGCTACCCTGAGTGTGTCACTGGTGACAAATGCCCATGCAATCAAGACAGACATTCATCTTCACCGGTCAGGGGAGACCTTCATGCCCCTGGTGAACTCAATCAACATATATCTGATCATTGCCATCTGTTCTGTTTCCAGTCTGTTCCTGCTAGCCATTCTCATGTATGTGGCCCTGCGATGCCACTGCAAGGCAAAAGAGACCATGATGTATGGCCCTGGCACAGCCACCCTGGTCTGCGCCAGTGAAGTGGGCAGCTGGTCCTATTCCAATCGCCACAGCCACATCCTGGCAGGTGTGAGTGCAGAGGCTGGTGCCAAGAGTGACCTCATGATTTTCAGTCCCAACATTCCTGTTTTTGCAAATAATGGAAGCCCCATCCTGGCAGGTGTGAGTGCAGAGGCTGGTGCCAAGAGTGACCTCATGATTTTCAGTCCCAACATTCCTGTTTTTGCAAATAATGGAAGCCCCATCCTGGCAGGTGTGAGTGCAGAGGCTGGTGCCAAGAGTGACCTCATGATTTTCAGTCCCAACATTCCTGTTTTTGCAAATAATGGAGAATTTGAAAATGGGACAGAACTGCCCCCAGATGCATCTAAAGAGGTGAGTTTTGGTCCTTGTTTTAGTGCTTGACATTCAGCCAACATTCTATTTCCCTGATACCAATTCTAAATCAGTACTGATATAATATATTTTTCATAATTACATTTTCAATTTGTAATAGAAGACTTATAAATACATGACTAGCTAAAAGGTGATATTCTACAATATTTTGTATAATTTATTTTTAGTTTACACAGTGTTTGTGAATTACCTATCAGAGCTTCATGAATGAGTTGCGATTGGGAACATAGCAATTCTTTTGATTTGTTTGTTAATTTCATTAAGCTAGGTACTGGTTCAAATGACAAAGATAATTTAGAACTATAGAAGAAAGTTGGAAAGTTGGACGGGGTAATTCGGGCCATGAAATCCCACCCCCTGCTCAGTGCAGAAATCCACATTAAATCATGCTTTGCCCAGATGTCTGTCTGAAATACCTCCACACTTGTATATGCTATAAAGAGAAAGCTATTTGCTATTAGGATTAGAAAACTTTTCTTCACTTTGACAGCTTTGATTTTTTCTCACTAGCTTCCTCAGATCTTATTTCTGGATTCTTTTTTTATTCAGCAGTCCAGGAATTCAGTTTAAAGCATCCTAATCAAAAAGTAAAATTTTATATTTTGAACAGGCACAGTTTATTGCACTCCCAAATCATAAGTGATTACTAACTTTCTTCTTTATTTTAAGATATGGTGCATGGCAATTATGCCTTCTCTTTCATTCTCTTTTTAATCTGTTAAAAAACTTGTAACCTTCCTTATGCTATTTTAAATTCTGAATACAGTAAAAGTATTTTAGTGCAGGAAACAAGAGTATAAGATACTGTTGCATCCAGATGTTGTCCTGTGTTTCATAAATAATCTAGAAATTTCTATAACTAATCTTATTTTTTAATACTAGTGTTTGATATTAATTGGGAGAAATCAGTGTTGATACTATTGGGTCTTAGTAATAATTCTGATAAATTTATTGTATGTAGGGTTGTGTTTTGATTTTTTTTTAAACTTCAGGGTAAAGATTCCTATAAAGTTTTCGGTACTGAGACATTTAAATTTAGTTCCAATTTTGATGCAAATACAACAAAAGCAGATTCATTTGAATATCTCCAACAAGATAAATGCATCCTTAAACTACTTATGCTGGTTTGACATTAAATTGGCTTAACAAAATCCTGTCTCTTACTGAGGACTTTTGGCAGCATTTTGCAAGGAATTCAATCTGGACAGCAGACTACCAGGTTCTCCGGTTGGAGGATTCCCTGCTTTCTGTTCCAAACCTGCTGGCAGGTCTTACTTAGCATTTGTAACTGTGCATATAGGCTTTTAATTATATATTTATTTATTGTTTTTAATGAGCTGTGAGCTGCCCAGAGTCCCCCATTGGGAAGAGATGGGCGAGGACAAATTTAATAAATAAAATAAATAAATAAATAAATAAATAAATAAATAAATTTCCCATGACTAGAAAAATGATGAAACGGTGCATCAGTGTCCATATTAAAAAAAGAAAAGAAAAGCCCAGCAGAGCAGTAAGTAGCCCAGGGAAAGAAAAATAATAATTTAAAACATCTGCCAAGTGACTGAAATTATGGTGAAATGATGCACCAGTGGACTTAGAAAAAGAAAAGGAAAGAAAAATGACCAGCAGAAAAGTATAAAGAAAAACAGATGTTTTTTAAAAAAAGATTTATTGGGTTTTGAAATGGGGACATTCTGCATTTAATTGTTATAACTATTAAGTTCCTGTTATAAAAGAATCTACAACAGAACTTATTAAAGAAAAGTAGGGAAAATGCGGTGATGGGTATTCCTGGCCCTGCAAAGTAGCCAAAGTGGAGGGGCTGGCTTAAAAGAAAATAAAGTGATTTAGGCAAACTGGCTGGCAGCACCTGAGCTGACAAAAGCAGACAAGCACTGCTTTGAAACGGGAGCAGGAAAACACACCTGGAGATCCCAGCCCCGAGCCTCAGTAAGGTAAGGGACTGTCTTCTCTTGAACTCCACCCACCTGTCTAACCCCCCGCCCCCCATCTCTGCCTTTTGGCTACCTGCTTACACATTGCCACCAGCTGCTCCCACTGCCCAGCCTTGCCTGCCACCACCGTGCCTGCAGCACCGCATGCCACTACTGTACCAGACAGGGCCTTCTTTTGCATCACCTTCTTTCGTGCCAGTGCAGTCAGGGCTTCTCTCACGCACTGGCCAGGGGCTCCATTCATGCCCTGCCCAGGGCCTCTGTTCATGTACCAGCCAGGGCCTCCATTCATATGCTAGTTGAGGCTTCCATTTGCATGCCACCCAGGACCTTCTTTCGCAAAAGAAAGTTGGAATGCCAAAGAAGACCCTGGTTGTGCTGGTGCAAAACAAGGACCCTTCTAGCCAGGTCCTTCTTTTGCACTGGTGCAGCAGGGGCTTCTCTTGTGTGCTGGCCAGGGCCTCTGCGCCCCTTCAGGGCCTTCTTTTGTGAAAGAAGGCTGGCATGTGAAAGAAGTCCCCAACTGCCCCAGCGCAAAAGAAAGACCGCTACAGTGGCTGGAACTTTGAGGACTGGCCATAAATCCCTTAGTTTAGCGCCATTGTAACTTTGAATGATTGCTGAACGAATGGACTTTAAGTGAGGACTACCTGTATTATATCAGCAGCATTCCCACAGTCTACTACAGAAGTTACATAATTTAATAATGAGATTATTTTAAACTGGTATAAAAGAACTGTATAAAAAGTGTTAGAAGATAGATTAATCTCCCAACAGAATGAATGGTAAGTGGACAAAGGAAAAAAGGATATGGAAACTGCTTGGAATAGAGTGAAAAGGATTATATATGCACATGACAGAATTGTGTGGAGCTACACTAATGGGAAGTATGAAACAAAGATACTGGTATAATGAAGTAAAAGAGGTCATGGATGAGGAAAATCCATATAACAGCATGACACTGTATGCAAATAAAAGGACAATGAGGGAAAGAAATTGTATAATGTGTATAAAGAGGAAATGCTAGTTTGAAAGAATGTACTTAAGGAGAGCAAGGAATGTGTTAGATCAGGAGGGAGAGAAAAATGTGGAATTATTTTAATGAAGACACAAAGTGGGTAGGTCAAAAGGGCTAAACAAGGAGCCTCCAGAAGAATAAGTGGGATTCAAAATAAAAGTGATGAAATAGGGATAAACTGAAGTGAGGGATTTAGAATGATAGTGATTTGTTGAAAAGTGGAATTGAAACAAAAGTTATAAATGTTAGCATCCCAGAAAAAACTGATGAAAGGAAGCCACAAATGCTGTAAGGCTGCAAGTGTAGATGGTAGAAATGTAGAAATGTTAAAATATGCATGGGGTTCGCTTATAGAGTGGCAACTTGTTTAATGTGTTTGAAGACTGCAGCTGTCCTTGGTAATTGGAAGAATGCCATTGTCTTTCAAGGAAAGACAAGGAAATGTAGCAAGAGTAAATGCAAAAACTATAGTGTGCTTGGAAAGGTATTGATCAAAAGGGTGCAAGAGGTGATAATGAACAAAAATTGAGAAGCACAGTCCAGCTAAGCAGGGGGTATGAAGAGGGTATGAAGACTGAAGATTTGCTTTTCCATATGTCATTGAGAAATGTACAATGTGACAAAGTTTACTGCAAATTTCTCAATTTAGAGAAATTGTATGATACTGAATAGGCTTGAATTATGTATTTTTGCATGAATATGGAGTTGAAGGTTAGTTGTTGAACGTGATATGATATGAGTCAAAATGTATGAGAAAAAAAATTGAATGCTTAGTGCATGAGTCATCATTGAGCACAGAGTAATACAAGAATGTGTGATAATGCTTGGTTGTTTAATGTATATATGGATAAATGTATAAAATTGGTTGTTGTGGTATAAGTCATCTGTTTGTGGTATGTATGAAGGTACCTGTTTGTGAGCAGCAGATGCCATATTGTTGGCTGAGAACCCAAAGGATTTGCAGCAAATGTTGGATACACTGTATGGTGCAACGAGGACTATAGATCTAAACATTAATGCATATAAAACAGCAGTTGTGTTTGACAGGGAAAATGAAGTAAATTATTGCAAGATGATGAAAAATTAGAGTAAGTAGATATATTTGTATATCTTAATAGAATGTTTACTAAAGATTAAGATTTTGAAATGCTGATAAAAATGTAGTAGGCATTTTGTGGTCTAAGGCACTATTACTAGAAGGCTTTTATTTCTTTTGTTCCATTCTCAGATTCTGAGGCTGGTGAAGTACATATGCACTGTTGACTTAGAGTTATCATAGGCATGTATTCCTAACCAAAATGTCATTATAATGATGAAGTGTGTGTCATGACATTATGGTGCAAGCTCCCCCCTTTCACACTTAGGCCATGATGTCACATGCAGGTATGAAAGGGTGGAGAGTTTACACTGTGACACCATGATGTGTGTTTTGTTACTTCCCCCCACCCTGTGGATACCTATTGTTATTATTCAATCCTCATCGGGTTCTTAATGCTACAGAATGGATCTGTATAAAAAATACTGTACATTGTTACCCATGAAAAGCTGACATTATCAGATAATAGCTACAGAATCAGAGAACTGTTGGTAGAATCTTTTTGGGAATATAAAGCTGCTTCTCATAATTTTATTGTCTAGGGCTAGATTAGAAGCAATTTTGGGGCCAGTATAGAAGCATTTTTTAAAAAGTTTGTAGAACTTAAAACAAAGTTTGAGTTACTTCAGAATGCTTCTTGGCAGTTTATTTAATATAAGTATCCCTTACTTGGACTCTGGTTCTCATGCTATTGCTTCTTCTGAAATGCTATTTGTGTTAAAAACTTCGGAAATATTGAGTGTCCTAAGCTATTTATTAAGCTGAATTAGAAATTAAAGAAAGTAAATGAAAGTGGTATTAATTATTTAAGTGAACTTTAGAATAACAGACTTGAATGCTTTAAGTAACAGGTTCTTTTAAAACTGTAAAAGTAGAGAGTTCTATATTTTATTGTAAAATGTAATAGACATTTTTGTCTTGAAATGCAACCAAATCTTTCCTAAAAGTTTATTCAGTAAACATTGATTGTATTGTTGTAAATGCAATTTAGAAGTTGGAACATTCATGTGGTTTGGGCTTGTCGTATTATTGCAGTATTTTGCTCTGAAATTCATAGGATTATCTATATAATTTGCCATTGCTGTTTCTCAGTTACATATACTGTATGTTCTTCTTGGCTATATCATTAGCACACTGTTTTTATCAATGCATTAAGAAGTATAAACAATTCAGATGTGTGTGATAGCCAAAAGAATTAATAAACATAAGAAAATAAATCTTCAATTGATTTGAAGCAAAGGATTGGTAAGATGTGCAGTTTGTCAACATCTGAATAATTTTCTTTTCAGCAGAAGGGCAAACAATCTGGACAAATTTTTTTAAGCTGTGTTCTCTGCTATAACTTAATCAGCAATTTTCTATTATCTTTAATTTTAGTTTCTTGAATAATATTAAAAGATTAATGTAATATTGCAATCTTTTTCTTTTCACATTTATGAAATTGCTATTACTATTATTATTTTTCATTTGTTTAATAAGCAAAAAGAGGGGGAAAGAGTTTCGCAAAGACAGTTCCAGACATAAGTAAGTTGCTTCTTTATAACATGATGTGTTTCATTGGCTCTGATGAGATCTGAGCTCACTCAGAATAAATCAGTGGTGTCTGATGATGCCTGTAGCAACCTGCATCTCTTCTCATCTTTGGGCCCATACAGTAACTTCACTTGGTAGTTCCTGTATTGGGTACTTATAGCAATGATAAAACAGCAAACCACCAGAGGGTCTTGGGCCCATTTTATGACACCTTAAAGGCTAAGGAATTGTTTATTAAAAATGTGAAGCAGATGCAGGCAAAATGGCTTAGGATAACCTTTCCCCCCCCCCTCCCCCATTTACATGAGATAGAAGGAGAGGTTTCATCCTGTTCCATTCTCCAGTACCTGAGTGACACAGGTGAGAAAACATTGTAAAACCTCTAGGAGCTCTTTCTGTTGGATCTGGAAACCAAGAAATAGGAACTGAGAATTTTAAAATTTTATATATGTTTTTAAAAAATGCTGTCTGGATTGCAATAATAGTAGATTTCAAATAAATAGCTTCCACCAAGGTTTAATGGTCAGTTAGAACAAATGAACAAACATTCTCCTGCCAATAGCACCTACTATTCAGATTATATAATCATCCCAACACCATCCTTGGGAGGGGGTGTCAATAAAGTCAAGATGGCGGTTATGGCAGTGCAATTGACCCCCCATTCCTTTTGTACATGTGTGTGATATTGATGCACATACAAAAGGATAAGTTTCAATCATGCTGCCACAACCTGCAGCTTGACTGTTTTTGATCTCACACAGATGCCACTGAATCATTCAGAAGCATTTTTACATCTATATATTATGGAGAAGTCCAGTAGGAATGTAACAGCTCCAACAAGAAAAGAATTAAAGTATATTTGCCTGTACTGAACACAAAGCATCTGAGAATTCTCATTCTTCCTGTTCAAGATTTTCAAAAGTTTTCTTACACTGCTACATGTTGGCATTATTCTGACCAGAACATGTGAAACTGGTATCATTAGGTGGGGACCCTGGGAGGTAGACAGGAAATGCTTTCAGAAGATTGGAACTGTTGTCATCATGTTCAAGACTTTTCTGAAAAATCAATTACTTGGAGATCTAATGAAGAAATTTGGCCCTGTAAATCTTTATTTCTCTCTTTTTCAGTATGTCTCAAATTACAGTCATAAATATGACTCATAAATAATATTGCAGCCAATAAACAGAAACTGATCTAAGAGGTCATAAAAAGCACATGGTATTGTATTCTATCCCAACAGTTTTAGTAGTATTTCTTTATGATACCACTGCTCCACATCTCAGTTATGTCCCATAATTTCATTAATCTGAAACCTGTTACATTTTCTGTAGGGTTTCCCAATAACCTTTTGCAAACATAAAAAAAAAAAAAAGATCTATTAAAAAGAGAAAATAGATTAAGCAAATGTCAAGCTGCTGGATTAATCTAAGATAATGAGGTAGACAAATTAATATAAATGAAGGAGAAAGGCGTATAAAATGAAATATATTGTATAAGATTATCATGATTTTATTATATGAAAAGTTTATGATGTTTATAAGAATTATAGTTATAGTTCTATTAATACCATGGGAGAACTTCAAAAGGCAATCACAAGGGGTCACTGTTGTCTAGAAGAAGCAAGGCTAAAATGCAGAGCTCCACCCGCCTGGACTTCTACTCACAGAACCACTAAAGAGACACCAGCTATCAGTTGCAAAACCACTAGAAGAGATTCCAGCACCACCAGACCAGGAGTGGGCCTGGGGCTCTGCTCCTGAGCCCCATAAAAAAGGGATTTATTTATTTATTTAAAAAAGAACAAAAGCTGGTCTCCAGCTTTGCCATGCTTGTATGGAAAGTGGAGTCTGGAAAGGCATCGCTGCTGCAGCTGGCACTCCTCCACGCCGCTTGGAGAATGGGGGGCAGCCAGCTCTATTACTCGGTGCAGGAGGAATCCCAGCAGGGCACTTTTGTGGGCCACATTGCCCAGGATCTGGGGCTAGAGGTGGATGAACTCGTGACTCGGATGTTTCGGTTGTTTTCCAAGGAACAAGGAGAATATTTCCAGGTAAATGTGCAGAATGGGATTTTATCTGTGAGTTCTCAGATTGACAGGGAGAAGCTCTGTGACAAGAATGCTGTGTGCATTGTTCACCTGGATGCCCTTGTGGAGAAACCATTAAGGATTTTTCACATAGAAGTGGAGATTACAGACATAAATGACAATGCCCCAGTTTTCCCTGCTACAGAGAGGCAATTTACTATTGCAGAGTCTAATATTCATGATTCACGCTTTCCCCTAGAGGGAGCCTCTGATGCTGATATTGCTGCAAACTCTCTGCTTAGCTACAGACTTAGCCCTAACCTGCAGTTCAGTCTAGATGTAACAGAAACTTATGAACATAGTGTTTCTTTATTCCTTGTTTTAAATAAACCTCTTGATAGAGAAGAATGTGCTGTTCATCACTTGTTTCTCGTGGCCACTGATGGAGGTAATCCACAACTCACTGGCACAGTCCAGTTAGTGATCCAAGTGCTAGATGCAAATGATAACCCTCCTGTATTTAATCAATCGGTTTATAAAGTCCAGTTTTTAGAAAACTCAGAAAATGAGTTAGTGTTTAAGGTAAATGCAACAGATTTAGATGAGGGGACAAATAAAGAAATTACATACATCTCAAGCACTTTTTCTCCCACAAGTGGAGAAGAAAAGTTCATCCTTGATCATCAAACTGGTGAGATTTATGTGAAAGGGCATTTGGACTTTGAAGAAAGGAGTTTCTATGAAATACAAGTTGAGGCAAAAGATAATGGAAATCCTCCATTATCAGGACACTGCAAAGTTTTGATTGAGATTCTGGATCTCAGTGACAATCCTCCAGAAATTACAGTAATGTCTTTGTTGATACCTATTCCAGAGGACTCACCATTGGGGATGGTGATAGCTGTGATTACTGTTTCAGACAGAGACACTGGTGCCAATGGACAAGTGAGCAGTTCCTTGTGGCCATCTGGGATTCCTTACAAGCTAGTGTCAACTGGAAAAAATTACTATTCACTGGTGCTACATGAGCACCTGGATCGGGAACGTGTTGCCGAGTACAGTCTAGAAATTATTGCACAAGATCAAGGGACTCCACCATTGTCTGCCACCAGATTCCTAATGCTTTCAATCAGTGATGTAAATGATAATGCACCTACTTTCTCACAGCTGTCCTACACAGTCTTTGTGAGAGAGAAAAATCCACCTGGTGCTCACATTTTCACAGTATTTGCTTCAGATCCAGATGTAGCTGAGAATGCTCTAATAACCTATTGGATAGATGAGAAGCTCTGGCCATTGTCCAGCTACATTTCTGTACAGTCAGAAAGTGGAAAGCTCTATGTTTTGCAACCTTTGGACTATGAGGAGTTGAAATTGCTGGAGTTCCAGGTGAGAGCCAAGGATGCTGGACTGCCCTCCTTATGTGGCAACGTGACTGTTCAAGTCTTTGTGATAGATGAGAATGACAATGCACCTGCCGTGTCAGAATCATCAGAAGAGGACTTGATACTTCTTGTGGTTCCAGTGATGCCTGGTCATATTGTAGGCAAGATCCATGCCTTGGATGCTGATTCAGGATACAATGCATGGCTAAGGTACGAACTGCTTGAAGAAAACAATGGTCCATGGTCTGTGGGCCAGTATAGTGGTGAGGTGAGTACCAAATATTCTCTGGATGAGACAGAAGGAAGCAAAATCCAGAGTGTGTTGGTTCTTGTGAAGGATCATGGAAAGCCTCAACTCTCAACTACAGCTACCTTGAGTGTGTCATTGGTGACAAATGCCCAAGCCATCAAGGCGGATATCCACCTTCACCAGTCAGGGGAGAGCTTTGTGTCCCTGGTGGACTCAGTCAATGTCTATCTGATCATTGCCATCTGCTCTGTTTCCAGTTTGTTTCTGCTGGCCATTCTTATCTATGTGGCCCTGCGATGCCACTGCAAGGCAAAGGAAACCATGGTGTATGGCCCTGGCATGGCCACCCTGGTCTGTGCCAGTGAAGTGGGCAGCTGGTCTTATTCCAATCGCCACAGCCACATCCTGGCAGGTGTGAGTGCAGAGGCTGGTGCCAAGAGTGACCTCATGATTTTCAGTCCCAACATTCCTGCCTATATGGATGTTGGGGAAGTGGGAATTTTGAGGGAGCCAGTTCTAAATTCCTCCGGACAGGTGAGTTATGTGGGTTGGTATCATAATCCTTCTGTTTTGACACGTGTTACATGATTTGAAACCTATTTATTCTTTAGTCTTTTAAAAGAATTCTGGAATGACCTTCAATAGGTCTTCAAACAGAATGTTTCTAAGACTGTGATCGTGTTTGTGCTTTACCTTATTGATAAATGAAGAAGTTTATCAGAGTGATGCCATCAGATATTTCTTTGAAGGTGATGGGGATGCAAGCTTAACTAGACTGTAGGGTTTTTTTTCTTGAAAAGATAATAAAAACTGTTAGAGTTTCCCCTGAAATAGTTATTATTCTACAGACTAAAAGGCTGATAAATAAATGTAGACAACATTATTGTATTAATGATGGATAGTGAATATAATTTAAGTGAGAAATATGGGCAAATTACAAACATGTATGTTTTCATCAACAGTAGAGGGATGACTTGTGTGTAGAGGAACTCAGCAGTGGGGAAAATGATGCACTATTTCTCCCAGTCCCTGGGTCTTAATCAGTTGTACTCCTTTATAAAACATCTATCAGTAAGAGCCAGACCATACAGGAAGATACTGGCCAGTATCTCAATGAAATTCAATTCAGTGAAAGATACTGGGCAGTATCTCAATTCAATGAAAACCTTTCCCCTTAAGAGTAAGAGATACTCAGGGATGCCACTGAATCTTTAGCTTGGTATCTAATATCAAGTCTCCTCTTATTTGTCTAGCCCTATGTCTTTCTTTGTCTTTCTGGGTCTGAGTCACATTACTTGATCACATGGGACTAAGCCAAACTGCAACAGAACATTAGAGACTGACTTTTTAATTTTCAGTAACTGAACCTATTTCATTTATGAATAATTGAACTTATTACAAATGAAAGAACTTCAATTCATGGAAAGTTTTTGATCTAGGGGAGGGATTGTACAGATGAAAGGAGAGGAAAGCAACTTGCTGATCTTCCTCTTAACTTCCAGTCTTCAGGTCATGTCCCCAACCCTTCTGGTTTAAATTCCAGGGAGTTTCATTGTCTATAGGGAAAAAGGGAAGATTGTCAAAATCATCTCTTGCTTTCTCAGTAGACTTTCTAGCAATGACTAGGATGAATAAAGTCTAGATCCAAGCAACTGTGTCAGCAATGATTTGCTGATTTACTTCAGAAAGAAACTTTAGCCTTTTATTATAAATGTTGTATTTTAAACTATTAATACCTTCAAAACTTAACACATTGCAATACACAATCTTCTTGCTAAACAGATAATCCAGATTACTAACTGAATGTGAGCTACAGCGTAAGAGAACTAGTTTTATATAACTATGCATACTAATATCTGAAGTGTGCTATTAAAATTAATTTATTGACATCATTTGAAGACGTGCTATTGAGATTCATTGGGCTTTGAACTGCACGATATATGAGTCAGGGTATTCTTTAAACATATTCTTGCCAGAAGAGTTTAATTCAAGAAAATATATTTTCAAGCATCAATGTAGGAATGTTAAGTCCACTGTGATTAAAGTTTTCATAATTTTATTATTAAACTGCACCAAATCAAATATATAAAAATAATTATTGAAAGTGATACATTTGGAATGATTTACAATAATGGCAAGGCAATCTTGTTTTTCATAGTTATATTCTGCTTATGGTTCAGTGCATCCTGGAATGCATGGACTAGGGTGGGGTAATTGCGTGTGTGCGTGTGTGCTCCTAGTTCAGGTCAAACCATTGTGCTATTACCTTTAGAAATAAAGAAAAGGGAAGGAATAGGAATAGCAAGGATTCCTATTCCCCATCTGGATACAACACTCTTAGCTCTAAGCTGCTGGCTATACCTTTACTTATCCTGTACTTTCAATTCTTTTGGGTCATCATTTCAAAAACAGTTAAGAGCAGTACATGGTTTTCTGGGCTGAGGACCACATTCATGCCAGGATGCAAACTCCAAAAAGTAGGCAAGGACAAGTCAAAGAAATTGGATGTTTTTTCTTTGCAATAAAGGATTGATACCTTTCATTAGACTGTGCAAGTGAGCAGCGAGAGCTAATAATAGTTTGCCAGAGGATTTCAGCAGGGAAATTTAAAAGGAGTCCCTAAGAGGTTTTCCCTCTTAGCCAAGAGTTTGCACTTGATGAACCTGGAATCCTTGAAAAGGAACAATGAATGAATGAATGAATGAATGAATGAATGAATGAATGAATGAATGGCTTTCTACTGATAGGGCCCTAAGAAGCAAAAATTAAGATGGAACCTGCAATGGAGATCTGCAATGCTTGAATCATCTTCATCTTCCTGCCTGAAATCAACTTGGCCTATATTTGTAGCAAGTGCAAGCCCTTGAAGAAAATGTGAAAGGATTGGAGCAGGGAAGGCATCTACTCCATCTGATAAGAAAATATGAGGATTTATCAGTTCAAAGGTAGGAGCCTCTACAACAGAAACTGACAATGAGAGCAAATCTCTATAAGGAAAATGGTCAAATATAGTGAGGTTCGGTGAATGAGTTTAACAATCAGAAACAAGAGATATAAAATATATTCTTCTCTATTGGAAGGTAGATACAGTTTTTAGGCCCTTGTAGATGAAATAGTCTGGGAGCTTTCAGAGGAAGAAAGAGAACTACAGAATGAGAGGGTGCAGTTATGCTCTATAAGAAAACAAAGAGAAGAGTCATGGAAGTTGACAACTCTCTACTACAGGAAATAGACAGACTAGGCCCATCAGCATATGAAGTGTGCTGTCTGATAGAAGCAGGGGTCTAGGACATGACAAGTAACTTCCAAGTCCATTGACAGTTAATCCTTTCTCCTAATATTTGTGAGATAAATGATACTGTAAAGCACAGATAGAACTGCATCGCCACAGACATTGAAATGTTGGGAGGAAGCTCAAGATCCTGGGAGCTCAGATGGTATTTTTATTTATACTTCCAGTTATGGAAGAAGATTGGAAAGGGTAAGAAAAATACTCCAAATCAGTGACTGGCTAGGCACATGGGGTCAATGGGAGAGATTTTGCTTCCAGAAACATAGTCTGAGTTACCTAAATGATAGACTGGCATGAAATGGGTTACACCTCACAAAGTAAAAATGAGTTTGGCCCAAGTATAGGGAGCTTGATTCGGCCTTTGAATTGAATCCTGTAGAGGTGCAAATGAAAACCTGAAGCAAGGATCCCAGATGAAGACCTGCACACTGCAGAAAATGTGAGTTGTTGTTGAAATAGGGTTGTGGTGAAGGGAAAATCTCAGCCTCCTTGTGAGTACACAACATCAACAGGGAATGAGTGTTTGCTGACTCAGTGCCTGCTGAGCAGAAAGACTACTCTGACGAATGAGAAAGGTGTGGGGAGTTAGAAGAGAAGGATGAGAGAGATGACAGATGCCAGTGGTTGGCAAAAAGGATACTACAGACAGAAACCTGCTGCTTGACTATCTGGATCAGGCTGCACAAGCAAACTGCCTGATCCCCTTCTATGCTGCCTGACCTTGCATCAACTTATTGCCCGGATAGAGAGTTAAAGCTGGTTCCTCAAGCTGGAAAGCCAGGAGGGAGTAAAGGGAACTGGAGACTGCATAAGTAAGGTGCTGCTTACCCACTCACAGGTGCAGCTGGAGGGCCTATTGAGAGGGTTTATGGGAGACCAGAAATAGAAGCCTCAAACTGCCACTGCCAACACTGTTTCTATCCATAGTTAGGCACTTTGTTCTGAATATTACTTTCTTGGTTTGGACTGCTGAGACTCCAAAGTGTCTGTTTTTGTTTTCAAACCACATCTCTGAATGCTCAGAGATTGGAACTGGGGAGAAGAAACTTCACCTCTACACTCTTTGAAGAATTGAGTATTTGCTTTTGCTTACATGCTAGTCAGCTCCTCACCTCTCTGTGTACAAGGGTCCTCGTTAGTGTTTACTATCACCCACCCAACCAAGAAGAAGACATGAATAATCCCTTCCAAAAGCAAATTGCAAATCTGGATGAAATTGCAGTGATAGGAGACTTTAATTATCCCAACACATGTTGGGAGATGAAATCTGCCAAGGATAGTCCTTTCAGAAAATTCATGACTTGTCTTGCTGACAGCTTTCTCTTTCACTTGTGGAGGAAGTCACAAAAGCATCAGCTATCCTTGACTTGATACTAATCAATAGGGAAGACTTAGTTGAGGAAGTGGAAAAACCCAGATCACGGAGGAAATGGCCATGTAATGCTGGAATTACTGATTTTTAAGAGTCACTAAAACGGAGTGTAGTCAAAGACTTCAAAAGTCAAATTTTAATAAAACTCAGAGCAGTAATAGAATTTTGTGGTATGGCTAATTACTTGTGGGCTGAATACCCTGGATATACAGGATATATATAAATTGTACTGAAAAAGTAATTACCAGTGGATCATCATGAAATTGGAGAAAAGATTCAAGTGGGGTGCCATAAGGATCAGTTCCTAGTCCTTAACTTTTCAGTATTTGTGTTCAGTATTTTCAGTATTTCAGTATTTTCAATGATTTGGACTGAGGTAATGCTTATCAAATTTGCAGATGATAAAAATTAGGTGGAATTGCTAATACATAGGAGACAGAATTACTGTTCCAAACTATCTGGATAGGTTGGAGAAATGGACTGAAAGTAACAGAATGAGATTTAGCATAGACAACTGCAAGTTTTTTCTCTTAGCAACAAAAGTCAAATACAGTTATAAGATGTGGGATATTTGCTTTGGTAATGATACTTGCAAAAAAGATTTTGGAATAGTAGCTGATTGTAACTGAATATGAACCAGCAGTGTGATAGGACTACAGAAAAGGCAAATACAGCTTTAGACTGCAACAAGCAAAGTACAGTATAATTTCCAAATCTTGGGAAGCAACTATTCTATTTTGGTTTGGTCAGTCCCTACCTTATGCAGTCTAGTTCACTGCTCCAATTCTCTAGAGATACAGAGAGAGTGCTGGCTGCAGTGCAAAAAGATTTGTGATGTCATGTTATTTTTTCACCTATTCTTTTACTGAGATAACCAGACCTTAGTTACTGAATGTACGACTAGGCTCCCTTTCCAGGCTAATG